TAAAATTAAAATTTTAAGCTCCCTTAGATTTATAACTTCTTCATTAAATACGTCTCCACACAGCAGCCCATAAAAACCTGTAGCAATTAAGTGGTTAAATGAACTGCCTCCCTTGTCAATTTTAAGGGAGTGATTAATATTAGATCGTCCCTTTACTAATTAGACTCTCCCGTGTCTTTCAGCTTTAAAGTCGAGCGAAAATGGAGGCTGTGTGCCCTAAGGAAGCAGGGTGGGCTAAGGACGCTTCCCTCGCCAGGCTGAATTTTCAGCGTGGCACCCATGGAAGGGAGGGCGAGCATCGTGGTTTTCCATGGGAGGTCGGCAGCAGGTGGGGAGATGGCTCTGCACCGAGCTGGAAAGCACTGCGGATGCCGGATGCTGCTTCATCATAGGCACTGTTGGCTCCTAGTTTTAAAAGGCTTGCAGGTTGTTACGTGTGCGGTGTGAAATCTACAATCAAGGCCGCTGTCTCTTGGCTATTATTCCTTGAGACAGGGATGGAGGGTCTGCAGGGGAGGCGAGACTGGGGGTGGCCGGGCCACAGGGCAGGTGGGGCAGTGGGCGGGCAGGCGGGATAAACAGGCATGGTAAAGGGGACGGAGACACCAGCACGATTTTAGAAGCTGCAGCCTGGGCTGCAGAGCTGGGGTGCTCCCACCCTGGCTGTGACGGGGAATCCATCAGATGGAGAAATGGAGCAACCGCTTACAAGGGAAATAAAGAGCGGCAGAGACGGAGAATATTTATATGCCCATCTTCTCACTCCCAGAGAAGACGCTTCATCACAGGGGTCAGCTGCAAAATCACACTTTTCCTGACTCCTGAACAGACAGAAGCTTTTGTTTGGGTTGCGGGGCAGACAATAAGGGTTTCACGGAGCCACCATCCCACTGGGGGTCACCACCACCCTCCTGCTGCCCAGCCCTGTGGGGGAGGGGCGGGGCCAGAAAGCCTCCCCATCACTGCCACTCACTGGTCACCTCCGTGGCTGAGGGGAGATGAGCCAAAACTCACTTTCTCATGCCTCGGACTAATGTGCACGGCAGAGGCCCTGCTCCAAGCCGGGGACGGATGCGGACGGCAGGGAATACGGCTGCTGGAGGGCAGGCTGGGCAGGAAGGAGGCTGCCATCCCCACCCGGCGCCAGGAGAGTGACCGCATTCACGGGGGAATTTATTAGCCACAGCTTTGTTCATTTTCAACACCCACACCTGAGAGTATTTCTTAGTTGTGAGAGGTTTCATGTTTGTCAAGAATTCCACCTCCCCCTGCAAATCTGCTCGACGGCACGTAGAGGGATTTTTAATCACGACCTTAAAACATGACCTTCCTTGGGGGGGTTCTTTCAAGAAACTCAAGCCAGTGCTACATGCCACGGCTTCTGGGGAACTCGCAATGAAGTCAGGAGCAGCAGCTGTGGGACGAGTGAGGCACACAGGCTGGGGCCATCAGGCCCGTGGCGGGGGTGGGGGGAGCCAGGGGACCCACCCAGGGTCGATCCTACGCGGCAGAGTTGGCGTGCTACCCCAGCATCCAGACTCAAACTGTGTCCTCTTCACCCTACCCCGTTGCCTGCCCTGTCTACATGGTCCGTAAACGTCCCTGCGAACACCCGGGATGTGCCCTTCAGTGTGACAGGTGGCTCTGGTCCACACGGCCAGCGAGCCTTGTCCTGTCTTCCTGCTGGCAGGGCCCCGCGTCACACGCTCCCTGAAGCTCAGCTAACTTTGGGGGGCTGGAGGTGCACTGCCCACCCACACCTGGTCTCTCTCCATCTTTACATGGGCAATTCTTGGCTGTGGCAGGCTGGGGGGCACTGCGGGTCCCTGCTCACGCTGGCAGCTGGGGTGTTCCCTTTGGTCCCCAACCACCAAAGTCAAGGTTGGCAGGGTCACGGGGTTCGTTCATGGAGTGAACTGTCCCTGTGGCCGAATGGCGGTGATGGGGCACAGGCTTAAATTCCGAATCATCCCCCAGGCAGAGTGTGGTAAGTAAAGTTGGCAAGCAAGCAAGCCCACCCCAGTTCTGGACAGACAGAACAACGTGCTGCCATCAGGGGCTGCATCTTCAGCTTCCTTCACGGCAGGGACCATGCAAGCCCAGGTCTCTGCTGGAAGCCCAGGCAACACCATTTCTCCACACAGGGGGGGGGGGGGGGGCGTGTGGTAAAGGAGAGAAGCACCTGCCAGCACAAAGCAGCCTCCGTGGACGCTAGCCTCTTCCAGCTGCTCAGAAATCCGAGAGCTCAGGGAGGCATTCAGGATGGGCAGAGAAACACGGTTCTGGTCGTGTGTCTGCCCCTGAACCCAGTGGCAGTCTCCTTTTTGTGGGGAAGGGGTTTGGCTTAACAGTGTAAAATATGACAAAATGATACACAGCGAGCCAAGCAAAGTCCTCCGCCAAGATCCCCCCCACCGCCTCCAGGGGCAGCCAGACTTGCTGGGGATGGAAAGGAGCAAAATCATCCTGACCAAAGGGACACCCAGCTACTCAGGAGCCGAGAGCCGGGGCCAGGGGGATGGTGGGCCTGGCTCCTCCTCAGCCTCCACCTCCATGAGCAATGCTGAGTTCAGCGGCAGAAAGGAGGAAGTTCATGTTTATTTATGGAGAAAATTCTCTGCCATTGTTGCCGAAGCAGCAGCTCATTCACGGGAGTGTGATATCAACATACTAATCACCATGAAATGCACGCGGATAGCCGGGGCCAGTAACCTCTAAAGCCCCAGATTAAATGAAAAACCGTGGCATTCTTGACTGTGGTGGTATCGGTGATGGTTTTATACCCTACTTCATGTTTCTAACCTTCCCCGTTTCCCCACTTTCTAACTCCACTTTAATTTCCATCCACAGAGAACACAGATGTGTGTTTTTAGCCCATTACCGGAACAAGAAATAAAGTGAGGTGTGGACACCTGGGCCGGATTTGTGCTTGCTCGCGATAATAACAGCGAGCACGACCGTGGTGGCCGAGGCTAGACCCTGTCCTGGGTCCTTCACACGACGGTCTCAGATCCCGTAAGTGCTGTGCCGGCAGTACTTTCATTACTCTCCCGTTTTACAGAAGAGAAGACAGAGGTTCAGAGCAGTTAAGTGGTGCTGCCGAGACCCAAGCCTGGGGTGGCCAAGTCCAGAACCCCTCCGCACCCCTCCAGGCTCAGAGTGCCGGACAGCAAGACAACGCATTCTAACAAAACGTGTGTTTAGGTGGCATTTCAGTCCTCAGCATGATAATTCAGGTTTCTGGTGGCTTCTGCAGCCTGCACCGAGCCCTACACAGGCCTCATCTATCTGTCCCATCTGGTAACTCAAAGGCCCAGCCCGGGTCAGGTGGACCAACCTCCCCAGCACTGTTGTCTCCATCAGCCCCTTTGAGGGACATGGAGCCACAGGCTTTAAGCCATAAGGGGCAGGGTTTGGAGTGTGACCACTGGGTCTCAATCTTGTCTTGGGCAAGACCTTTCACCTCTAGAGTCTCAATTTCTGCCCCAAGAGATGAGGAGGAACGACACCCACTTGGTCAGCGGCGGGAACCAGTGGAAATGCAGAGAGCGCGCCCCAGCTGAAGGTGAGCACGTAGCAGGTGCTAAAATAAAACAGGGGCGACTGTGGACAAGGGAAAGCATGACACCCAGACGGCTTGCCTTCCTGAGCCAGCACATGCCACCTCACAGCCTCCAACCCACGCGGCCGGGCACCTGTGTTTACATATATTCACATGGTGTTCCTGAAAACCCTAGGGGATACGTTCTCCTGTTATCCCGGCTTTAAACAGAGGGGGGACGACTTGCCCCCAGTCAGCGTGGAGCTGGAATGTTTGCTCTGTATGTATGACCTTGACTGTCTGTATGACCTTGTCCCTCCTAAAGGGGTCACAGGCCATGCCCCTGCTTTACCCTGCAGCCAGAGTAAGCCACCCTCAAAGGCCTTCTGCACATACTCACCGGGGCCACCGTACTCGGGACCCCACTCGAAGGCAGTTTGTAGAGCCACCTATGACTGCCTTGCTTCTGGGAAGAGCTGACACGGAGCTCCACGTGCACAGGGATCTCTAATGGAGCCGCCATTCTTTCCCCCAAGTTTACTGCTCCTTCCACCCCCACGGAACCTATAGATGACAATCAGGTTGGTTTTTATGATTTACTGAAAATCAAAGACAAAGGGGGACTTTTTTGTCTTGTTTTTGCTATGACAGGTTTAGAAATTTGTTGTACTACATTGATTAAATTTTCCTTGATTTCAGCCATCTTTCAATAATGCGACCGGCTTCTGCTAGCTGGGTGTACCGGAGAAAACCCAGAGGAACTGAGAATATTGAAATGGTTCTACCATTTCCATCTTTGAGACAAATGTTCCTCTCAGAGGAGAGCTGGTTGCAAGCATGTGACTGCTTAACAGTCGTCTACACATGCAAGACGACACACGCACACTCTATTGCTGTCTTATGAAAACAGGGAAGACATGGGCGGGCCTGACCTCCGGTTTCATGCCAATATCTCAGCTCTCAGTGTTGTCACAAGTGCTCCAGGCTTGGATTTCTTTCTGTTTTTTTAGGCAAACACCCAAACTATGTGGAACCAGGCTGCCGAATGGGGTCTGGCTCATCAGGCACAACAGAACGGACCCTGATGCTGGCTCTAAATCGCAAAAAGGCTCCGTGGACATGTTCCCACACCCCTACTGGTGGCAAATAATAGAGCCCGAGGAGAGAAAGGAGACTCCGTGCCCATCCCCCAACTCCCACCTCTTAAAAATGGGGGCATTTTAAAACCTTCTGAGAACACACCTTTCAGAGAACACACGGAGGTGTTGGTCATAACTGACTTGAAGCAGTAAACACATTCAAAGTGAGTTTCTTCTAACGAATAAATCTGAGTGACATGGAAGTGTTTTCCTCAGAGGGGCACCCCACACGTACGTCCTCCCTGTTCCTGGGATGGAGACCCTGTGGGGAGCAAGCAGGCCCAGGCCCCACCTGCCCCCACTCTGGGCAGCTTGCTTACCTCTTTTTCAATTTCTGCCAGAGATTTGATGGTGATTCCCAAGAGATCAAAGGGCTGCATCTGCAAATACAGATCAAGTCATCCTTTCAAGTGGCTGGAAAATGCTGTTTCACATTTGCTTTTATGCTTAACAATTGTGACATCTCAAACCTCCCTATGTGATCTAGCACTTTCTCTACCCTCTTTCAACAGGAAACCCACCACTGCAAATCTGTAGTGATTACACGAGCAAACATTCCAGAAAACCTGGCCGACCCCTGCTGAGTCATCTGTCGGCAGCACCTGGGAGGGTCCCAGCCCTCCTGAGGGACAGTGGCAGTCACTGATGACTTCCGTCTCTCCTTTCTCCCTGCCCAGGCCAAAAGCCGGTTTGCTCCTTCCGCAGCTGGGGGCACAGAGGGGTACAAGGCTTGGCCACAGCTGCCCTGACCATGTCATCCTTGTGGTGGGATGGGTCTAAGGAACCGCGGGAGCGAATTCTAGGTCTTTGAAGATGCAAGGTGAAGGGAAAAAAACTGCCTATCAACGATCATTTGAGAACTCAATGGTAGTGAAAAATGGTATCGCTGCATTTTAATGTGGGTTTCTATAATTTCATGACAATGGGAGCCTTCTCTGAAAATACTGGCTTTCCCGCAGCCAGCAGGAGTCAAGTGCACGAGGCAACAAGTCAGCTGGAGGCGCAGAGAGGCCGGGGCTGGACGCACGATGAGAGGTAAGAGGGCAGTGGGCACCCTGTCCTGGAGGGCACCCTGTCCTGCTCTACGCCTGTCAGCGTTCTGGATTCCTGAGAGGGGCCGGCAACTGGCACCTGAGGACGAACAGGTGAAACCGGGGTCCCAGACAAAAACCCCAGGCCCTTATGCTTCTGAACCACAGCCCAGAGGTCAGCGCAGAGCTAGAGCCCAAGCCGAGCCTGCAGGGATTTCCTGCAGGTGCGGTAGAAAGGCCAGCTCCCGGGTCCACGGACCTGGGTTCAAAACAGCGCGGCTGTGGGTTAGATCGCCGCATCACTTGCTCTCCCGCTCAGAGCAGCGTGGCTGGGTTCTCCCAGCTGGGCTACCGGAGGGGGAGCGAGAAGCGCTCGGAGGTGCCCAGCACCCGGTTTGGCCCGAGCTGCCCGCCTCAAGCACTTGCTGAGTCGGCAGCGCTGGGTAGCGGCACATTTGCAAGGGCGATCTTGGGACAGGGCCACCGAATGAGGCACTCAGCTCCCAGGGCTCCTCTGCCAGTAGCCACAAAACAGTTTGGCTCTCTCCTGCTGCCAGCCCGAGTGACGAGAACGGGGCTGCTTGCCCGCGATCAGCAGAGGTCCAGCTGTTGCATCATTAGGCTCTAACTGCCCCACTAAACTTTCCCGACTGGAGCTGGTGCGCAGGACAGAACAGCCTCTCCGAGGGAGCAGGGCGGGAGAGGCGCCAGCGTCGCCATGGCAACGCGGCCAAGTGGCGGCGGCTGAAGTTACTCATGCCCCGCATGTCACGTCACGAGCATTTTTCAAGATTAAGCTGCTTACCAGAAGGGTTCAGAGGAGGCCTATTATATTTCATGAAAATGGAAACTACAGAGCAGGTCAAATCGCAAGCCGGGTGGTTTTAAGCTGGATCCAAGAAATACAATGAAGGATTCCTTAGCTGGTGCCCAAACTGGGGCCCTCACGGTTGTTAGCTACTCAAAACAAACTCCTGCGAAAGGGATAAAAAACACCCAGAAACAAGGCCATCGAGCCGGCATGGACCAGGACCAGCTGGGGGAGTGGGGTCGGGTGGGGGGCTCCCACCTGGGGGGCAGGTGCCATCCGAGAGAGGGTCCCTGGAGTGCCAGGTGGGGTCTGCAGTGGCAGCCCACAGCCTGCAAGGCTGCGTATGGTGGGCGCCCCTCGTGGTCTGGGTTCTGGGCTGCACGCCCAGCCAGCTCACACAGCCCCTCCGTCACCACAGGTAGCTCAGGGGCCCCGGCCGGCTGGTGTGTGTCGTGGGGTCCCTGCGGGCCTGTGGCGAGCGGGTGACCACAGCTGTGGGCACGCACACTGGCCGACCAGCCTGCCATTCGGAGGCCTCCCTCCAACTCGGAGCAGAGAGTGTGGTTATCACAGAATCCAGGTTACAATGAAAAAAATGAGGCAGCCTTCTTTCGGCAAGATGTTGTCATGGTTAAATAAAAAAGAACAAAAATTATTAACCTGAACTTGGGACCCAAGAACATTCACAACTAGTGAAGTTCAGCCCTATTTACCACCACATTTGAAAGAAAAAGGCTCTGTTATGGCTGAATCGGAGTCTGTCCGCTAGTCTGTCTCGCTCCCTCCCCGCGCCTCATCCCTACTCTCCTGTCACTCCTCGAGCACCTACTATGTGCAGCGTTAGCTGGAGGGGCCCAGAGAGGAAGCCCTGTCCTTGGGATGACTCGAGGGCAGGGGCCTGCGGGCCGAGCAGAGGGAACACACGCTGGGGGTGGCCGAACCGAAGGGCCATCATGCAGAACACTTACACTTTCTGGAACGCAAGAAAACTTCTCTGAAATCATGAAAGGCACACCATCCATTGCTGTAAGAGAAGAGAAAAAGAGAAAATGGCATTGCAGGCACCAGCCGTGTTCAGTGACTTGAGACACTGACAGTACAAGCCGACGTGGGCACAGGTGAGTGGGGCCCTGGGGTGACGTGGGCACAGGCTCCGCCCCTGCACCCAGGACACACACCTGGGCACCGCACAGAAGTGCAGACAGAGCTGTGGGGGCAGAGAAAGGGCCAGAGCCCACCCTCGGAGTCTGGTCTCTGACCTGTAAGTGGTGGCAGCTCCCGAGGGGCTGGTGGCAGGACAGAGGGGCACGCGGGCAGGGAGGGGACAAAACTGTGCTCTGTGAGGTGGGCAGGGAGCGTATTCGGGAGACATTCTCTCCGCTGAGAATGACGCCATACCGCAGGCTGCTGGGCCCACAGGAAAGGTCTAGGTTGGAGGAGTGACTTTGGAGTCAGAAAGACCTGGTTTGAATCCTGGCTGTGGGTTTCGGTGAGTTTAAGTTACATTTTAAAAGGAGGATGGCAGGGGGCGCCTGGGTGGCTCAGTCGGTATCAGAGGTCCCGGGCTCGAGCCCCAAGTCGGGCTCCCTGCTTGTCCTCCCTGCTCCTGCTCTCTCTTGCTATTTCTGTCGCTGTCTCGCTCTCTCAAATAAATAAAAATCTTAAAAACAAACAAACAGGGAGGACGGCAGGGCCTGTGAGCAGGGGTGTGTGTGAGCTGGAGGTGTGTGCAGCATCGGACACAGAGCAGGTGGGTGGGCCACAGCACGGCCACCGTGGTTCCCTCTCCGTCTCCTAGTCCCGGGCTTCGAGGCTGACTCGAGGCGCCAGGCTGCTCGAGATGGGACACCAGGGAAAGGTGGAAATGGGTCCCTAGCAAACGAAAACACGGGGTCAGTGGTGCAGTGCCTGGAGGGAGACGGTCTTCTGGCCCATTCGGCTTTAGGAGGAACGGGGCAGGCCTGGCGAGGGGGCTCCCCAGGAAGTCGTGTTCTCTGCTGCCCCCAACATCTAAGGTGAGTTTTCTCTGGTATACAAGTGGCAGACAATTTCTTTCAGTCCTAAGAAAGAAGAGTCGCAGAAGCAGAAAGAAGGCAGGCAGGAAAAAATAAGAGAAAGAGAAGTCTGGGACAAATCCTCCCTGATCAGCAAGCTGAGCCCCGTGGCTCATTTTAAGCTACGTTCAGAATGTATTTCAGGGAAGGGAAAATGAAGGCTCCTCTGGTAGGTCTGAAGAAAAGGAAGCAGCACAGCTGGCCCCAGCTGCCAGCCTGGAAGCCTCCTTTCTTTGGAAGGCTACTGCCCAAGGTCCGGCCCCAGGCTCAGAGACAGCCACGGTCGGGGGCCTTCTCCCATCCTGGGCCCCTGCGAGCTGCCAGGACTGCCTGGGGGAGCACCGGCTGAGGGCCAGGAAGTGTGACCCTTCTCCAGAAAGGAGGTGGGGAGGACGCCCACGGTAATCTGTGGCACATCACATGTGCAGACACACGAGTGACACAGGGGCACACGTGCGTGCTTTCTCACATATGGCGGGGAAAACCCACCCTGAACACACGACCCTTGCAAGGCCACACGCCTTCTAGAGAGGGACACACGGGGTCCCACCCAAGATCCAAGAAGAGGCCATGCTCCCTTCCCGGCAACTGCCACTATCTGCCCAACTCTGGCTGTGCACCAAGGCCTATCCCACACGGCATTCGGACGCCTGACCCCGACCCTCTGCACCTTCTCGGCCCATGGACACATGTGGGCAGGTGCCACTCAGCACCTGCGGTCATTTCACAGATCAGGGCCTGCTGAGGGCACACAGGTAGCAAGCGGGGACTCCAAATCCTCTGGCCCTTCCACTGGGTATAAATGGAATTTCTGAGAACAAATCTGCTTCTTCCAGACCAGGACCTTTCAAGGTTTGATCATTATCATGTCCTCCCGAAGTCTCCAGGCATCCCTTCCACCAGCTCCTTTTGGTCAGACCTACGGGCCAGGAAGTGGGTGTGTGCGAGAAGAGTCCAGTCAGACCCACCACCACCTTCTCCCCAAACCTGCTCCTCCCTGCGCCTTCCCACTCACCGGCCACGTGCCACCTGCTCCCGACCATCCCAAGCCCGGGGCTGGAAGCCACAGCCTACTCTGTCTCTCTAAGTCCCACAAGCCCACGGCCGTCACCTGCCAGGGCCACTGTGCTCTCTGCTCTCTGCATACACACACACAGCTCCTTCTGCTTCTTTCTACCCACTAGACAGACGGCAGCGCCCAGAGCAGAGCTCCCTTCACACGCCCCACGGACTGCACTCAGGAAGCAGGCTGACCAAATGCCTGATGAGTAGTTTTTGGTGAGCACATCTTTAGCCCACATCCCCACCCTGGGCACCCCTGACCATTCACTCACTAGGCTTTCTGTTTTAAAGATCTTATTCGTGTCTGGGGGCTTCTGATGAGATAGGTCAAGAACTCCCCATCGCTGCTAACAGTGCTTCCATCTGAACGTCAGGGTGGGTTTAGAGAACTCATATCCTGAAGGGGAAGTAGGGTGACCTTCTACAGCCTGATCACCCCTGAAAACAAGAGGCCCGGGGAGCACGGAGAGCAGGAGCAAGGCAGAGAGGTGGCTCCATCCTGTCCAAGACTGGTAGCCACACCAGCGCCCCACACAGCAGGATTCCCAAGGGGGGTCCTCACTGGCACATAAGGACCTGCAACCCCTTCACAGGAGGCCCCTTCCCCTCATACTCCTTATGTCGACACCTGGCTGGTCTTCTGAGGTCTGCTCTCAGTGCCTCTCCTGCAGCAAGCCTTCCCAGAGGCGCCCCCCGCCCAGGTCCCCGGCCACGGCCACATCTCTTCTTGGGCAGTGGGCTTCCTGGCAGTCCACGTATGAGTCACAGCTGCATTCCTGTGTCCCTGGCCCAGAGCCAGGCCTGGAGGCACTCGGGCAGGGAGGGCAGGAGGGTGGCTGCTCCCACAGAACTGGCCTGAGCATGGGGGCTCTGGCCTGGGGCATGTACCTAGCCCCCAGGGGTTTGGTTGAGGGTTTGGTGAGCTGCTGACAAAAGCCATGGGTTTCTGGAAGAAGTCTGGGAATCACCTCTAGGAACTGGGGAGATTAAAGCAGAGAGGAGTATTTTTGATCTTTAAAATTTTTTTTGCACATTAGTAAAGATTTAGTAAATTTTGTTGAGCTAAAATTCACATAATATAAAACTAATCATTTTAGAGTGAACACTTGGGCGGCATCTGGTCCATTCACAATGTTGAGCAACCACCATCATTCCCCAGTTCCACAGCATGTCCCCCCCTTCCAGAGCAACACCCTACCACTCAATACTTTCCCTTTATCCCCCCAAGAGTGTGTGTTTCTCTCTCCTTCCAACTGATGGTCATGTCTTTGAAAAAGAAAGATCTAGAAAGAGAAGACTGGCTTTCTGGACCGTGGTGGCCCAGTCTCCTGGAATGTTGCATTCCTGCCTCGTGGGTTATGGTGGGGGAGGGGAAAGGCAGGTTTGCCCAGATTGATCCTTGGGACCTGGAGGGCTGTAAATAAAAACTGAGGAGAAAAAGACCCAGAAAACGGATTTGTAAAACTTGGATACTAACAATAGCATTTGTGTGTGTGTGTGTGTGTGTGTGTCTGTGTGTGTGTGTGTGTGTGTATAGAAAATGCACCTTTACATCAGGCATATTTATAGGACAGGTAATAAATACATATTTTTACATTATACATATACATATATACGTGTGTATGTATATGTCTACATGCACACACTATTTCCAAAAGGCCCCCTCTTAGCTTCTAAGTCAGACTAGAGAAAGTGAGTAGAGACTGGCACAGGCACACCCCATAGAGTTTCTGAGCCACCAGAAGGGGGGTTCATTCAGAGGCGCCTCCTGTTCACCTACAGCCCCTCCCCCCACCACCTCATTCCCCAGGTGAAATCCTCACTCCCAGACCTGGGGAATGATGGAGATTTGTTGGGCCCAAGGGCCAATGCCCCATGTGAACAATGAAGGTGTTTGGTGAGGGCACGCCTTCTGGTCCCTGGGTAGGCTCCAAGGTAATTTCACAGAGCAACTTCTTGAGGAGGCTGAAGGCAGAAGACCAGAAGCGACATCCTATGGGACCACACCAAAGACAGCCCTTCTGGAGAGAAGAAAGGGAGGATGCACCCCCAAGACTCTGTGAGAAAAGGCAGCTGTGGCCTTCAGGGTGCCCTCCTGATGGGCTCGGCAGCAGAGGAGATGATGGGGAGGACCACTCAGACCCGCTCCAACCCCCAAAGGGAGCTGCCTGCTGACGGGAACTTTGGGATAAATTTCCACTGTATCTTAAAGTTCATGACAGAAAGATGAGCACAGTCAGATCCTTCTCATATTCTCTTAGAAAACAGACTTTAATAGTCTCGGAAGAAAAGAAAGCAAGTCGCTAGGATCCTATGGGCTGATAGCTCCCAATGGAGCTGGCGAGAGAACAGGATGCTCTCACCCATGCGTGGAGCCCCTTAAAAGGGGAGCCAATAAAAGTTTGCTAAACAGAGAATCAGCAGATTGTCTTTCTTCTTCAGCAGACTGGCCAAATTTCATTTATTTAAAAAATCTAGTGTATCAAAGATTATGGTAGGCTGAAAGAATGTGGATTTTAGCAAAACATTTGACAAAATTTCTCATGTTACCCATGTGGACAAGTTGGATAAATATGACTGAACAGTGTTAAGAAGAGGAGAATCCACAACTGGTTGGACTAGATGTTCAAGAAACTGATTAATACATTGATGTTGACCTCAACTGACCTCTCTCTGGAGGGTACCCCAGGGCATTAGCAATTAGTTCAATGAAGACATACATAGTAGGCCTATCGCAGAGGTGGCTGATGGGGAGTCTGGGAGGACAATCTATAAGCTGGATAACTGGGAGAAATCCAATGAAGATCCTCCCAAATCGGGATCATGGTCTAAATTTAGGGATGGGATTTACTACAGATCAATGCTTGTAAGTCCTGTACTTTAGGTCTTAAAAACCAGTTGTATTAGA